TTTTGCGATTTTATTGAAAAAAGTGACTATGTCTAAGGGTTAATCTAGAACATTAGATATGATGAAAAAGAACAGTTTCAGCATGAAACATCTTAAACTTATCTTATATTTTGTGAATCAAGTGCCCAAACACTTTCAGGTACGGTGAAACGACGAAAACAAGCCCTTAAACACAGCACTGCCGCTCGGTAACTGGAATCGCACTCATAAAGTGCTCCGCGCGCCGCACTTCCCAGGCTTGTCACATCTTTATTAGTGCTTTAATCGAAGTGAAATTTTACAGGAGTCTTTTCTACAGTATGTACTATCGATCTACTTCTTAAAATCTAACTTTTTCCAAACTTCACTTTTTCGATTTATTGCCGCTTAAACCGGCTATTCGGACCATAGTGCGGCGTGTTGCCAGCGCGAGACGAGCATTGGCGCCTACAAACCTAAAGGGATACTTCAAGCATTGCGCAATGCATGAAGTATCCCTTTAGGTTTGTAGGCGCCGGTGCGCGTCTCGTGCTGGCAGCACGACGGCGCAGCAAGCAACTATTTCACAACAGAGGTATCACACAGTATCATAAGAAATTGAAGGCGCTCCAACATGTTAAAAATCCGAACGATTCAAAAGAGTCTCCCGGATGATTAGTGGCAATTTGACAAAGAACGGAGGCTCCTTTCAATAACATATTCCGGTTAGAAGCTCCTGAGCCCGTTTTCTACAAACTTAATTTTTGCACTTACTGCTCTCTTTGCTATAACGGCAGCGTTAGCCAAGCTTAGACCCCTCGTTGTTTGTATACGTAATTTTGAACGGCTTCTTTGATTGTGTTTGTATAATGGTAAAAGTGACGCGGAACGGACTGCATCACTCGAGGACACCGCATGATACGTCATACGGTCCCGGTGCATCGGTGCATCGTGTGCATGCATAGAAATGACAAAGTAATATACAACGTGGCCCGCCCGTAATTCACAACCACGTCAACGTTGCCGAATTCACCGACCTCCGTGTTTTGCACTGATTGGTTTACGAAGCCCGGTACACGACTAAAAACATACCTTCATCGCAGCATCACGCTTTCAATGCATTTTATTGAGGCAATGGACCACTAGATAAGGTACGAATTTCAGCATTCTGATACATGTTTCAAAACCAAAATTTCACGTAAAACACGATGTACACAACGAAAATTACCGAAATTAGTTCCTTGCAAAGATGTTTAATGATTCTTGATGCGTGAATTCAAACCACCCACTTATAAATACTCAATGGTGTACGTGATTCACATCGCGCGCTAAACGTTATCATGACAGTATCTGCGATATAAAAATCTGGCAACCTCAATCTGGACGCTTTGGCTCAGCTATTGCAAATTGCTTATAGTTTGAACAACTCATAGTGGGAAATGAACATTGCTCGACTGAGAAGCTTGCTGAAACCGTTGTAGTGCGCAATTAGACTCACGTAGAGCTTTGAGTTTCTTGTGAGCGGGCAGTTAAAATTCCTCGTGACCAATGTGAAATAAAAACGTTAATATCTTCGTAAGTAGATGGTTTCAGTAATTTTCGTTGCGCGAATCGTGCTCTACGTGAAATTCTTGTTAAGAAACATGTATCAGATTGCTTAAATTCGTACCTTGTCTAGAGGCCCAGTAACCACTTAGCAGTTCAATATCGACCGTAACACTACCAGACCACGTATCTCGTTTGCGGTGTCTAAGAATCTTTGTTTATTTTTTATTTTTTTGGAGGACACCAAATCAATATTATTCCTTGAGGTTTTCACGGATTTTTCTTCGCACAGTGAAAAAAAATCACGGAAGTTCTAAGGACTCCCGACAATTACTCGTCCCCGTCGTCGACGCTGACGTCACTGGCGCTTAATAATTCCCATTCATCTTCACGGTCTGCATCTAACGAGTGCACTCCTTCTTTTCCACTCGTCGCTGGTTTCTTTTGGCATAAACCGTCCATTTCTGTCCGAAAAAGAAAGAAATGGCACGGAATTAAGTAACATGAACTTCAGATAGGAGGATTCTGCAGGTTGATTTCGTAAAAAAAAGAAAAAAGAAAAAATAAATAAATAAATAAAAATAAAAAATGTTCTTTGAATACTTTCACAGTCTTAAATCACTGCCGTGCGAATACAAATAGATGCTTTGGCAAGGATGTAAATGGGGATCGTAGATTTGTCGTGATGGAGCTGTGAGCACGTGGAGGGATGATGGGCGAACGCGGGGTGGCGGGAAAAGGGTCACGAAGGTGGGGGCAGAGGGGGTTGACATGGAGCCCCCACAACATGGCGGGGGGTGGTGGAGGTAACGTGGCACTGTAAATTATGACATAACTTACATGTTGTGTTGTGACGGCCGATTGAAAACTAGAACAGTAGCATCAGCGCGTCCGCTCATCCCTTTGTCTCCGTGCCCTCTTTATTCATATTCCTTTCGCTCTCTCCTTGTTTTTCTTCCTCCCACCCTAATTTTCCGACTTATTGTCGCCTACTTTCATTACGGCTGGCTTGAACATACATATCGTTGTCTAATTGTTATGAAAGCAGGAGCATTGATCGTTTGCACGTATTCAAATCATGTATATGAGTTTGAAGATTGTGACCCTCTTCAAAGAGGGCACGGATTCGATCGAAAAATGAAAACGTGAATCGGACGACGCCAATCCGATCGACAACCTTAAATCGATCGACTCACAGGTTTATCGATCGATTAACGAACTTGTCGATCAATTCATGGGTTTGTTGACTGACTCACAGATTTGCCGATCGACTCACGGTTGTTGATCATCGATTCACGTTTTGGTTTTTCGATCAATTCATGTCAATCGAATCCACACCCTCTCCCCTCCATAATATAAGAACTTGCTGCACTGGCAATCAGGTTCAATCAGAGAGGCGCATGAAAACCGACATAAATGAATTCTTAAATAATATTAAAAAATTGTACCCATTTTAGTAGATAGTGCTTTAGTAGATCAGCTTAGATAGTGGTACGCCTCGCCCTGAAGCGAGAGCCTTAACTAGAGCTAAATGGCAGGAAGAGTGGGACGCTGCTGAGGATGGATTGTGGACGAAGCGCCTTGTTCCCAACTTGGAAGCTTGGTTGCTGAGGAAGCACGGGGACATTGATTTCTACATCTGCCAGTTCTTGTCCGGACACGGATGTTTTAAAAGATACCTGTTGCGTAGAGGTATTGTTCGGAACAGCTCCTGCCCGTTTTGCTCGGAAGAGGACACTGCTGAGCACACATTCTTTGAATGTGGTGCCTTTCAGAAGGAACGTAATATGTTATTTGGTCGCCTTGGAATGCTTACTCCGGAAAACGTGGTGGAGAGTATGTTAGAGTCTTCGGGTAATTGGAATTTGGTATCAGGTTATTGTAGGGAGGTTCTGATGAAAAAAGACAGGGCAATCAATCCACCCGTAGAATTGCCATACGGCAGAGCCGGGTCACCTCAAGCCAGCATGAGCACCTAGTAATTAAATAAATGAATTCTTCTCTTGTTTATTCACCGTCATATGTAATCTTGTAATTTTATTTGTATTGGCACGAAACTTGTATGTACCTAGGCTCGGATGTAATACTGTAACTTTATTCTCTGTCAGTTTTTCTTTCTTTCTTATGTTACAAATATTATAATCAAAATGTATGTGCTTTGAAGAGGTAATAAATAAATAAAATAAAATAAAAAATTTTAGTAGATATATATCTCTTACGTACATAGTGGTCTTGAAGCAAAAAAATGCGACAAAAATGTACCGAAACGCGGTTTGCGAGGGGTGAGTCTATGGAACGTGCGGACTTAAAATCGTGGAAAATTAAAGTCTTGGCTGATCTTTATTTTGAGAAACCGCAATTCGAAATTTTCATAGTGAATGCAAGTTTTCAACTGATTTTGATCCGATCTGTGTTGGTCAGTCAACGTTTTTATTCTTCGTTCGATTCAATTCGATCGAATACATACCCTTTTGTTACTTTCACCATACTACCCGCTGTGTAATTGGTTTTATTCTTGTATTAACTAAAAAATTACCTAAGTTTAAATGCATAATAAAATATACCGCGTTACAAATTTTCAGTCCTAAAAAGTCCTCCAACAAATTTGTTGTTTCGAGGTTGTTTTCGATTCGCCTTCAGCTGCATCCGCAGCAATTGTTGTTACAGGTATGTTGTGCGTGCTGATCTCAGCCCATTACATACTTGACTCTTCGAATGCGTTTAATGTGCGAAAGTAGAGCATCCTATTGGAGAACAACAGAAATGATATTGATTCTCAATCCCTACTTTGTTCGTCCTCCGATAGATTGCGCTACTTGTTCACAAAAAACGCCTTCAGAGAGTCGAGTATGTATTGATCTATAATCAGCACGCACAACATATTCGTAACAACAATCGCTGCAGACGCAGCTGAAGGCGAATTGTTCTGTTAAAAAAAGAGTATGATAGGAGGTCTGCGTGTAACGAAAGGGTATGTATTCGATCGAAATGAATCGAACGAAGAATAAAAACGTGAACCGATCAACACAGATTCCACGGACCAATGTATAAAAAAGCGGATCAAAATCAGTAGAAAACTTTCATTCACTATGACACTTTCAAATTACGGTATCTCGAAATCAGGATCAGCCAAGATGTTGATTTACTACTATTATAAGTCCACACGTACCATAAACTCACCCACTGCAAACCATTTTTGGGTATATTTTTGTCGCATTTTTTTTTGCTTCAAGAGCATTGTGCATGTGATTCCAATTGTTTTATATGTTGAACGCAAAACCTCACGATTCTCTTTCGGCAAACCGAATCTCTGGGACGAAATTAAAATGATCCCTAAGGCTGTAAATTGGAAAACACACGACACGGACCAAGGAAATCGTGCGTCAAAGAATAGATTTTAGAAATTCCTAAAATATTTCAACTGTGCACTACATCTTCAACATGCATGAGTTTCAGCATCTATTTGACCGTTTGAAAATATTTTTCGTTTGTTTCAGAAATAACCCCGTCTCGAGCCGCAGTGTCGATAGCATGTCCATAAAAAAAAGATCAGGACCCGTGCGACAACTATCACTCCCTCAGGCGTCCCAGAGAAGCCTGCAAAAGCGATCATCGGTGGAACTCAACGACCGGAAATTCGACAAAGACAACAACAACAACAACACCACCAAAAAGACCACACTGCCGCCCAAAACCCCCGAGCTCGGTACCCTTCTCATAAGCGCCAGCTCCATCACCAAACAAAATGGCGACGCGGAGAAGAAATCCCGCTCTAAAGAGCGCATCACGACAGCGGGTCGCGGGAGGGGGCGCGGTAGGGGCACGTGGGGTCCCCCACGGCCGCTCCGCCTGGCCTGGGGCGAGCGCGGTCAAAACAGTCAAAGTCAGGAGAGTTCCGCTCCGGGCGTCCAGGTCGTCGCCGAGCGGTGTAAAGGCCTGTCGCGGCCACAGACGGCTGGTCCGGCTGTTGCCCGCGAGAGCGCGCTGGGTTACAACCGGAACACGATCCTCATCTCCCGGAAGCAGTTCGCCGAGAGGATCCGACAGGCGTGGCGCGACCGGGAGTTCACGAAGCAGAACCTGGAGATCTACCTGGCCAGTCCCGGGAATGCAGACGATGTGAGTCCACGCGTGGGCTTCAATGTCGTCGAGGTGCCCAGTCCGGGGAGCCCGTACTCGGTCATCTCGACTGAGCTCAGATCGGCCGAGAGCGAGCTGGATGCCGCCCTAGGGTGGGACCCCGAGTTGGGCGCCAACGTGATAACAGACTCCGATGATGAGGATGAGAGGTTTGTATTTAGACTACATTTTGCATGAAATTAGGAGCTACGAGAGCAGTGGAGGTTAGGAGTCGTCGAGCGCGAGGGTGTGCTGTAAAGCGAATTGTATGTATGTATTAGGAGCTACGATTTCTAAGTCTATGCTGAAATTAATGGAGTGGAGGTGATTCGTCAAGCTCAAGTGACATAGTCGAACTGGCATGGGATATATCGCATTGATTAGGTAAAAAAAACCCCGGCGGATTTTGCATTTTAAGCAAAAAAAAAAAAAGAAAAAAAGGACGATTGCCCCTGCGCATGAGCCTATAAAGAATCATTCTAAACCCAAAAATTGGCAAAATTCATAGAAATGAAAGCAACATTGTATTTGGAAAAAAACCTCGCATTCCATACAAAAAACGATGGCTAAATTGAATGCGAGATTTTTTTCCAAGCACTTTTCTGCTGTCATTTCACTAAATGCCAATTTTTGGGTTTAGAATGAACCTTTAAGCTGCCGCCGGGACATATTTTTGGGCAAATTGAGAGACGACGTTTCACCATTTGCGACGTTGCAGACTTCCTTAGAAATTTTATTTTTCTTTCGAGAAGCTGGTCAACATAAAACTTATATTCTCCATGATTTTTCGTATTCGATAGCAGAAGATTTGGTTTGAAATTTAAAGTCGTAAATTTGGATTGTTTCTCATGGAAGAGATGAAATAAGGACGGAAATTTTGAAACACCGCAATTTAGATACTTAGTTTCGCACCGCCGAACAACGCGTCTTTCCACCGAATCAACTACAGGTAGTATGAGCAGGGAGTCAAAACGCCTTCAATTTTTTGAACGCAATACGGACATCCGTCGAGGTTGTATAATTGTATCAAGGCGCCGTGGCATACGCGTCCCACTCTTAATCGTTACAAACGAATATAAGTTGAGAGAGGAAAGTCATAATGCCTTCAATTGTATGTATACATAATTTTGGGAAAAATGAGAGACGACGTTTCTCCATTTGCAACGTTGCAGACTGCCTTAGAAATTTTATTTTTCTTTCGAGAAGCTGGTCAACGTAAAACTTAAATTCTCCATGATTTTTCGTATTCGATAGCAGTAGATTTGGTTCAAAATTTAAAGTCGTAATGATAAATGTTATGGGAATTTGTTGGGTCGACCATTTTTCAAAGGCAACGAGAGAAGTAGGACAAATCAACCTATTCTCAAAGCTTTAATACTTGTACAAAATACGTCGTTTCACGATTGAAAAATGTAACTACAATTTTACCCGATGTATGTAGGAATATAACTGTGAAATACTACCACACCTAGAGGAAGAACACCGCATGAGTCTTCAGACGTTGCGAAATTTCCTCTGACTAATTATGAAAAGAAATCTGTGATTATCTTCCACCAATTATTCAGAGAAGTATATTCACAATCCGAACTGAATCATCCGAAAATTTAAAAGAAAAATATTCATCATTCTCCTTTAAATAGACATCGAAACTTCGGCGAGAAGCTCGAATGTTTATACGGCGTTTTTCCATAGCACGGCAGAATACTGCCGTACTAAGGAAGAACGCCGTGTGAACATTCGAGAGTTGCCAAATTTCCTTCGATAAAATGTTCATTTTTGAGGAGAGTTATGAATATTTTTTCTTAAAATTTTCAGAAGTTTTAGATCAAACTGCAAACAAAATTATCTGAGAAATTGGAAGAAAAATATTAACAACTAGTATTTTTTTTTCAAATGAAATTTGGCAACGCCTGAAGGTTCATACTGCGTTTTTCCTAAGCACGGCAGAAGAGCTGCCCGAATCATGCTGATTTCACATGTAATCAGATGAAAACTCTGCCACATTTTCAGTTAAAAACTTGATAAATACAATCTGGGAGCAGGCGTTT